GAGCTCCCAACCAAGGTCTGCCTCCAGCAGCATACCCTGGTTTCCCTAATCTGTGCAAGGTAGTGCAACTAAAAGTTATCATTTTCATCAGTTTTTTGAACCACTCTGACTCTGGCCGCTCCCCTTGGGAGACCCTACCAGGGGCTAATGCCCCAGGCAACACAGCTCCCAGGATCATTGGGACACACAAACCACATTAAGGTAGTGATTCAAGGAGAGGAAATTTGTTTTGTTTTGGGGTTTTCTTGCTCTAATTTGGGGCAATTTAGAGTCACCAATCAACCTAAGATACGTGTCTTTGGACTGTGGGAGGAAACCGGAGTACCCGGAGAAAACCCACGCAGGCACAGGGAGAACATGCAAACTCCACACAGAAATGGTCAAACCCGCAACCTTCTTGCTGTGAGGCGACAGTGCTAACCACTGTGCCACTGTGCTGCCCTATTGCCTAATAAATTTGCTCATTCTACTAAATTACATGACATGTCTGCCAGGTCTGTCATGTAATTTAGTAAAATGTATTGCCTAACTGATTAATTTGTTTATTTACTTTAACATTACTAAAGGCTGTCAGTTAAAGTTGTAAAGTAACTAGCAGACACTGCTGTCAGTTGAAGGTGGTGTTAAAAGTGATACCACCCTATCAGGCTTCAGCTTTCCAGAGCTTTTTAAAGCAGCTCATTTATAATCTGCCTTTCTTCTTCTAATGCCTCATTTTGTCTGCTGAGTTCATCTTTAGTCGCCTCCATTGTTGTACACTTCTCCAAAGCTTTTTCTTTTTTCAGTTTTTTTTATAAAGCTGCTGGAGTTGCTTACGTAGAGTTTCATTTTTCTTGCTCAAGGTATTTTTCTCCAGTTTCAGGGAATCATAGGTGATGCCCAGAACTTTTTCACCTTGAAGTGAGCAGAGGAGTACATTAGTTGTGCGTTACAGGAGATTATTTTCTTTTCTCAGGGCATCATTCTCTTCTTTTATTGGATTATTCTTTGCCTCATTTATAATCTGCCTTTCTAATGCCTCATTTTGTCTGCTGAGTTCATCTTTAGTCGCCTCCATTATTGTACACTTGTCCTTCAAAGCTTTTTCTTTTTTCAGTTTTTTACGAAGCTTCTGGAGGTCCTTATGTAGAGCTTCATTCAGCTTGCTCAAGACATTTTTCTCCAGTTTCAGGGAATCATAGGTGATGCCCAGAACTTTTTCACCTTGGAGTGAGCAGCGGAGTTTGTCAGTCTTGCTGTACAGGAGATTGTTTCCTATGCTCAGGGCAACATTCTCTTCTTTTATTGCATTAATTTTTTCTACTAAGGCTCGCTCCTTTGAAAGCTGCTTCTCCAGCTCCTGAAGTTTTTTTTGTAGAGTGTTGTTTTGGTTGGTGAGAGTCCTGTTCTCTGCCTTCAGTGACTTATGATTTGCGTTAGAAGCCCTCAGATTTTCCAGATGCTCTTTGAAAATCTGAATGTCATTAGTCATTCTCTCATTTTTTTGCTTCAAGGTATCTGTCTCCTCCTTCAGCATGTTACATTTGGAAAAACGGTCTTCTTCATTTACAAGCTTTTTTAAGATCTCACTTTGCGTTTTCACCAGGACTCTCCTTTGTGCCTGCGTGGCTTTCTCCACAGCTTCCAGTTCGTCATATTCTACTTTTAAAGGTTTCCTGATCTGGAGCTCTCTGCTGACGATGTGGATTTGCTGTTGCAAATTGTCGTTTTCTTTCTTCAAAGCCTCCATGTGAGACATACGTTCCCTACACTGGTCTCCCAGGATCTTTGCATTTTCATACTCTTTGTAGAGATCCTGGAGTTCCTTCCGCAGGGCATCATTTTGGTGACTCAAGGTCTTTTGTGACACTTTTATGGCATTGTTCATCCTATGCAAAGCTTTTTCATTATGGAGCTCTTTGCAGATCTCCTGAATATCATGTCGCAAAGTATCATTCTGCTGGCTAATTGCATCATTCTCTGCTTTTGCGACATTGTAGGAATCTTCCAAAGCTTTGAAATGTTGATATCTTTCCTTGAGCCCCAGGATTTCCTTTTGCATGGCACTGTTCTGCTCTCTCATTGCTTCTGTTGCCTTCTTCATGGCAGTACACTTTTCCTCCAAAGCAGATTCACTTTGGGGTTTTTCCTGCAGGCTCTTAAGTTCTTGCTGGAGCTCCTCATTCTCTTGTCTCACAGCAAGAAACGCGCCTTTCTCATTTTGTCTCTCCTTCATGTGTTGAATTTCTTGTTGCATAGTGTCATTTTGCCGTTCCAATTCCTCCAAACATTCATTGTCGAGAAGCCGTTTTTTGAGCTCCTTAATTTGGAGGAGCATTGCATCGTGATGCATCTTTATTGTCTGTATGATCAGACCCGTAGCATCACAGTTGTTCACCGTGTCACTTGAATCATAATAAATGTCACGATTGTCCGAAGACTCCAGAAAAGCGTCGTTTTGTTGAATACAACTCATTTTCCGTTCTCTTAAAGCTACTCAGTAAAAAAAACACTTGTCTCGGTTTATCACACAAATACGGTAGCAAGCTGCACTCGGGAGTTGATAGTCTAACTAGCAAAGCACAGTAAAGTAGATGTGAATATACTCTGTGTTAACGTTTGAGTGTTTCCTGCAGATAGTGATCTTTTACGGGTTGTTGTCTACAACGTGATGACCGCAACATCAAAGGCACTTTTAGCGCGATGACGTCACCTCGGTTTTGGCGTCAGCACCCAGGATATTTACACGTTTACGAGGTTGTAAACAACATTGTGTCACCACAGTATTACATTAGATTGATTTATTCATTTAGTTGTTTATTTATTTAGTTACTGCCACTGATTGTTGCTAAATGGCGCCCCCTGCTAGCTAGCAAGTTACATTAGCAGCTGGCGTTAATGTGCACGGCGGACACAAAGTAGCTGTCTATTCAGATTCGTAGCTTGGTGCTCCTACCAAGGTGTTGGTATGAGCGATTTTTAACTCAGATTGTTAACAGCCAATAAAACTCATAGCCTTCGTCACATTTGTGCCGAGATGTCAGTATTTACATACCTGTTGCCAACATCTACTGTAACAGCATCATCAATTCCTTCAGTTGTTAAGTTAAATGTATGTTCTCTTTCATTTGGCAGGGTTAAGTGGAACGTAGCAAATATGAACAGCAAGAATCAGTAACCGGACGGACGCCAGGAATTTTACCTATATAAAAATGATATTAAATATGTTAAATGTTGGGAGCAGATAGAAAGGAAACAACCTTCATCGTGGTTAATTATGATGTGACAATCCCTTAGTACTCGTCTCCGGCTTCTAGAAGAATTCCCGAGTTCAGTAGACTGCACTTCTAGGTCCTTAACTTAAACTATTTGCAGTCATGACAGGAATGAGCATGACAGAAGTATAGCAAAATAAACACAGCGATGACTGTTTTTTTCAGCACAGCATTTTATCTCAGCTGATTCTTCATTGAACAATTGACATGCATGAAACAAACTCAGCTTTGGAATATGAATGACTTACCTAGAGCTTAGATAAGTAAACGATACGACAGGCAGTTCTCTGTATGAGCGTGAATGCATGCTATGGTTTCAATTCACAGTAAAAACATGAAGTATTATGCTCGGCTTTCAATCACAGTGCAAGATGATGTCAGAAAATAAAACGTAACCCTACTGTACTAGAAAAGGTTTGCATTAAACACTCCCTTTTCACCAAACACAAAGTGACAACAGAATAAGGCTCATTTGCATTCAGCATAATCAAACAACAGCACCAAATCAGTCTCTGAGATTCCTTTAGATTATTTTCTCATTACCTAAACAAAGATTAAACAATCAGGTTTAAGAAAAACAAGGTAATTAAATTGTGAAAATAAGAAAAACTTCACTTGCAAGCTGAGGTGTACTTGTGAAACATAGTTCATTCTGAATGGAGTAAATAACTGAAGCTTGGTGTGTGGTGGAATGTTTGATTAGTACATAATGAGAAACTCGGTTGACATCATTCCCATTTACGTCCAGTTACTTCTGTAAATATAGATGAAAAGTGATTCCTCTCTAGAAAGAATGAAACATGTTCATGATGATTGTCATTTAGAGACAGGGCCGTATTTCACTTACAGATGATCCATTATTTAAAAAGATTTTGAAGTAGTTACTTTGACACGTGAGCATGTAGTGACTTAGCCACAGCCCTGACCAACCCTGGTTTGCTCTTTCTTGTAGGTGGAGACTGAGGGGAAGTCTTGTGCTAATTCTACGACAAGTAGGATGAAGACTAAATGTGGAAAGCATCACTCCAGTATGATCCACCGCTCCTCATGGTGAGTAACACTACAGCTTCAAGTCAGTCTCACATTAGAAAATGTTAAACTAGAGATAACAATGTTTTCTGTATCCAGCATTATCAGGAGAATCCACCTACAGTATGGTTTGGTCCCTAAATAGGTACAAATATGACACATAACTGAAAAGAATGACCACGAGAAGAGGGCAAAAAAGGCAGGTGAAACAAAAGAGCACGGATGTAGAGAGGAAATTTTTGACATCATATCCAGATACCAACAGTGGTCTTTTAACATTGCTTTTGCTTTACTGCACTGCAGCTGACACAGAGGAATAAGGCAGGTCATTTTCTATATTAAAAGTATCTTAATAATAATCCCCACACGCTTCATGTCTCTCAGGCTTCAACCTGGATTTGGTATTTTGTCTGTGCCATGGACCTCAATTGTTATTCAAAAACAATTAAACTCACATAGGTGAAACACACCACTGCACTGGGTGGTGTCTTCATTACGAAACACCAGACTTGCATATTTGTTTTAAAGTGCTGCTCCAAAAGACCACACGTTTTTACAGCACCCGAAGTAAAGGAGTCAGCTGTGCATATGGGAGATCTCAGTGACAGTGGGAGGAGCTAGCAAACTAAAACTAGAGAGCTGGCGTGGAGAAATCACACAAGCACAGCTGACTATTGCTTACTTTGCTCTAAAAGATTATGGTCATTTGGAGGTTTCGGGGCTAGTGTTTTGTAATGAAGAAACATCACCCAGTGCAGTGATGTGTTTCACTGATGTGTTTTTAATTGTTTTTGAACAACAGTGGCAGTCTATGACACAGACGAATAAGATAATCCAGGTTGGAGCCTGAGAATGATGAACCATGAGTAAAGGGCAGTTCATTGTTAGTTTTAGTGACTGTGTGGGCATTGTTAAAATTAATAACATAGAAAATGATTGGTCTTATCCTTTAAAACAAGTCTAACACACCCAAACATTTCACATATATTGGGAAGAACAGGAGGTGATCACCTCTTTAGCTTTCTGAGCCTTTGGGAATGAGGCAGGACAGAGGTTGAAATGTTTTTTTTGTTTGTTTGTTTTTTTTTGTTTTTGTCTTTTCGGCTTTAGGCTGGCTCTGCTGAAACTGCATTTACTAAAAGGCAGGAGAGGGTAAAGGCTTGTTTACTGAATGGATTTCAATAATTACACAACTCTGTTTACTTTACTGCATAGTAGAAAACTTTTGCCAAAAGCACTGCCAAAGGCATCAGTGTGTTTGTATAAAAACAACCTGGTTTATCCAAGCCTTATCCCTCTATCTCATCCTGACTGAAGGTCAAGCCTTGTAAGGCCTTGAAGTGGACAGTTCATTAGTCAGTATAGTCAGATGATGGGCTACAGTGACTCAGCAAAGATGGTGGGTCTATAACCAAACAGGGCAGGGTATATCTGAGGACTGTGCATCCAGGCACAGACATAAGAAACATATAAGTAATGTTACTCTTCCACCAACTAAATGCACACACCTTACTGAGAATCTAATGAAGAGTCCAGGTACAATAGACTTTAGTCAGTTTACTAAAATATAGTATTCAATTTACCAATTTTTTACACATAAAATAAAACTAACACCGCACATTTACAATTTGGTAGTCTATCATCTTTAAGAACCACTGTACTCCATCATCTGATGCAGGGCTCCAGATTGTGAGTGATCAGTTACATTTAGCAACCAAATCTATTTAAAAGGTATGACTGAAGTTTTTCCAAAGGTCACACTGGTTACGACTGCAAAGCAAACTGGTTATGCACGAATGAATGCTCTCACTTTAGAACTGGCGGACAGATGTCATAATCTCTGTAATACGCTCATCGCAGTGTTTGAGGCAGGTCTGGCACTTGCCCGTCTCGCTAACAGAGACCTTGCGATCTATGGATAGTGCCGATCCACACTGACTCACACCACTCAGCCCCGGGCCCCTTTTTTTGCACTTTGAGTCTGTTTTTTCCTTTGGCGCATTTGAAGTGTAATCGCCACAGACAGCCGCTTAAATCAGGTAGATCGCCTGCTGGACTATTGATGTATTAGAAACTCTTTACTTGAATCCCGATGGATCAGGCCTCATTGTAAGCTTTCTGGTTTTACTTCCCCTGTCCTTTGTAGCAAGATAGGGAAATAGTAAAATTAATATACTCATACATATAAACGCTGCTGATTTCTTGTTGGTGAGCCCACATGAAGGCTTTTTGTTGGGTTCATCTCTGCTATCGGTCAGCTAGGTGAAGATCGTGGTGTCCTCCTGATGACAGACAGCTGTTCTGACGAGACGTTGCACGGAGGTCAGAGGCAGTGTGAACTGAACGGATCAAACAGTTGAGTTGCGCATACGCACCACTCCCATCTAGTGAAGTCCCAGTTTGAATAAGTAGTGGCTGAAACCCACCATTGAGTCCTCCTTTAACTAGTAAATTCACTAGCCTGGAGAGTGAGAGACCTGAACTGTGCATGAAGTAGACTTTGCCAAAAAGCAGAAATTCTTCTTCAGAAGAAAATGGGATACAGAAAATCAGAAACAGGCTAAATCAGAAACAGCAAAGCATGTGCGGAATTCATAATTCAGCTGAAATATGGCCTAATCATCAGCGTCTCATTATAATCATGTCACTGCTAGACTGTAGAACAGTAAAGTGGCTATAGATAAAAAGAGCTGGAAACTTGTTCCAGAAGTGATTTTTCCCATTTATTGTGTTTCATAAGTCTCCCTCTCTCTGAATTTTATAATAAATATATGCTATGCACATTGGATGGTAAGTGTATTTAAACTAATTTACAAAATAAATACGGTCTTCTGCATTATGTTGCAAAACAGAGGTGGTGCCACCAGTATGAAATATTAACCTGGAGCCCTGATCTGACGCCTGTGAGTGAATCAGTTTTCCTTATGGTTCACCTGTGCGTGATACCCATTACAATCAGAACCAGCGAACATTTTGCATCACACCTAGATTAAGTTTCCAGAGTCACATTGTTTCCCAACATGTAGCTACACTACGCAAATAACCATGTAGTGTCCTTTTCTAGATCTGCAGCACAAGGCCAGCGGCTGAGATGTTGTCCCCTCCACCTGCAGTTTGGTAAACCTCGGTGCACACAAGCACCGGTGCTACACAGATCTCATAGTCGTCCTCCTCCCAGCAGCTGACAGGCCTGGTCTCCTGCAGGGGGATACGCTGGCTGCCCTCCTGACGGCTAACAGAGAAGGAGTCATCCATGATGAGCCGTGCCTTGTTGGGGTCAATGTCATTAGAGCCACAGACATGGCGGTATGCTGTGAGAGAGGCCTTGGCGGTGGCTGACATGGTGTTCTTCCACTGAGAGTCGTGTGTCACAATTATGGCCTGAAAGGCCAATGTGTGGACATGGAGCCGGGTTAATGGCTTACCCTTAGCTGTAGCGCCGCCTGTGTCGCCTTCTGCACTGACATCCTTGTAGCGCTGGTTCAGAATGCGATAGACCTCCCTCATCTGGTCAAGGACAGTAGCTACCCGAGGGTTTGGGTCTGACAGCACTGTGATGTTGGAGCCTTTAAGCAGGCTGAGCAGGTTGGGAAGCTCCTGTTCATTCATCCCCAAAGAGTCAGCCTGGGAAAGCAGAAACAGGATGAACGATTAATGCACAGACATGCATTTGACTGAATTGTGCATCTTTGAAAAAACAGACAAAACCCTTTATTGTTCTTTCACTGTGTGCAACATGGTGCAGTGCATTCTGAAAAGACTGCACATAAAGATGGATGACATCACCACTTTCTGCCACTATGAAAAAGTGAAGCCAAAATGTTGAAGATGGGGTGGCCATTTTTGTTTTTATCATGCATTTTGCATAGTAGCAAAGAAAAGTGAAGCCGCCATATCAGGCTGCCAAATCATCTGAAGTACATTCTTTTTATATCACTGAATAACTTAAGAACAAACGTATCAGGAAACCACTTAGCACTTTTACACAAATCAGTATCTGGGTGGATGTCTCACACAGATATGCACTCCTATGTTCTTTTGCAGAGCTGTGGAAGAACTCCACTTGCTGTGATAATTGCAGTAAAGAAATACAATGAAAATACATTGTTAAAAGTTTCTGGAGAACAGTTCTATGGCAGCGTACTGATTGTGTCAAGCGTGGCGACAAATGCTTAACTAGTTAAGCATTACTATGTACTTAACTATGAATAATTACTAATCATAACACCAGCCTTAAAGAGCCCATGGCACTTTTCCATGTTTTCTGACTTATCTACAGTTACAATGATGAATTCTCATCTTAGACGTGACCTAAAGAGTAAAAAAAAAATAAAATAAAGGTGAACATATGTTCTAGTATTTCTATGCAGAAGTAACTCTGTTTATACACATCTCACAAACCCTCCCTCGCAAGACTTTTTTCTAACAAAACTGAGTGTCTTACATTATAGTTTTAAGGATTTCCTTGAATGGTAATAATTTCCAGGCAGTTGTAAATTGTAGAAATGGAATCTTTGGACTGCGCCTGGTTTTGTGGATATATTTTCCCTCCTCCTGCTGCACTGTGACCAGAGGATGTGGAGAAAAATACAGGGCCTGAGGTTACTGCACGTCCGAGAATGTTCCTGTACAGGGACTCGCTGTTATACCTTTCAAAACAACACCAGCAGCAGGAGCTGTGCTCGTTCATGAACTATCCTCTTGTTTTTACGAAGAGGTTCTCTGGTTTTATTGTTCTAAAATAATTAGACTATTTCGAGTTTTGATGGTTGCAATGCTAATCTAGAGGTACCCAAGATTAAGCATTAAATGGCTGGGAATGAGCAAAATCAGCATTCCATGGGCTCTTTAAAAGTTTGGAATATGATGGTGCTAAAGGCTTACTCAGCTTAAAGCAGTTATTAGTGGCCAAGTCATGACTGTAAGTAATGTGCAAATGGATGTGTTAATTTTAGTCATACATACATGGGGGATGACATAGTGAAGGAGATCTTCCATTATACTCTCCTCTACGAAACTGGCCATCTCAAAATGGACACCAATCTGAGGTGAGGAGGAGGACAGCAGGTTCGCCAGGCGGGAGAGGAGAGCATCCCGCTCACCTGGAATGATGGAGGTAAGATGAGGGAAAAAATGCAGAAGGTATTCAGGTAGTGAAGAAAACAAGGACAGAGGTGACAGGGGAGTAAAGCAGATAAATATGGAAGGATACAAAAGAACAGGAAAGGAAGACAAAAGGTACAAATGATGTACCTAGTCTGATGCACAGTAAAATGTTTAGCCCCATTTTCTACAACATTAACTTGCTGACCTGGAACTTACAAAAACCTGAACCTGAAAGGCTAATTTAGGTTGTCTGTTCTGCATTACAAACTAGGAAGGATTGGATGTGATTACTAACTCTTGGTCTTCACTTCCTTGTCAGCCTATCTCACAGTGCTGTCATTAACCTGCATTTCAGCTCATTTTATCAGACAAACTGTTACAGGCATTTACTGTATATACAATCACAAATGAATTTTAGGCTTCAGTTAGAGAAATATGAGCCAATCTGACAAATAGACCACAATACATTAAAGGGGTTTTTCTATTATGGGAACATACTGAAAGGTATCGAGCCGCGTGATGCACATCCCAGGTTCTCTGTTTGTTTCCACCACCCTCAGCCCGCTTTGGAGGTGCGTTGTGGGAGGTAAATTTCGATAGCCCCATAAGCACCCACCCCTGGCAACTACCGGGAACTTGATTTAGTACTACTTTCTGAGGGTTGCTGAAATATAGCTCCTGGAATTTGTCTGCGAAGTGGATGGAAGGCAGTGAGGACAAACACGGAACCCTGGACAAGGGGTAGAAGTACAGTTACAGGCAGTTCCTATAGTGATAAAGGCCTGTTGGTTATGACCTGCCTGCCAGGGTCATACTGTTAACTTGCCTTTTAGCTTTTGTCTTTAGAAACCACCGACACAAACACTTAAAATTGGTCAAAGTACACCCAAATTCAAGATCTGACTGTTATGGGCTTGTTGGATTAGTTGGTGGTGACCGGGTATCACCATCTACATTTTATAGATAAATAGCACCAATGCAATGTGTCAACACACTTGCATAAACATGTTTTCACCTCAGTAATTATCAAAGTAGTAAGGAGTTTAAGTGTAATTATGGCCAAAATCTGTCAAACTGAATATACACAAAACACAATTTACAAGAACTTCAAGACCTTATTGACTTTAAAATGCAACTCAGAATGGACTGAGTCTCCCTTTAAGGTAAAACTGTAACTAAATAACTTCATTAAATGTTAACTTGCATCAATTCACAAATCAAGGTCTTCTCAGCAAACTGATTAAGACTAAATTAAAAATTGTGACTGCTCAGTGCTGTCCCAATTCAAAAGACTAATATCAGACATTCCACAACAGCAACACACTGTAGGATGTTGGCACCAGTTTCCTCTTACCTAACTGGAAGGGGAAGTTATCCATCATCTGCAGCCCACCCACAACCAGCAGATCTGGTTTGAAGTCTTCAAGTTTCTGAGCAAACTCCTCCATGGATGCCAAGTAGGGATTATGGTCATCACTGTGGATGATGTATCTACAGAGCACAGACACAAGCAAGGCCAAATGTGCTCAGCTTCAAATACCTTACAGCCTTAAATTAAACCATATATACTTAAATAAACAGTTTTACTAAGATGCAGATACACACAGTTTACCTTATATGACCCTCAGAGATTCTCCAAACATCCACAAAATGTTCACCTAACTCATACCTGTTGGCTCTACGTGAGGTATAGCGCCCCCAGCTAGCTCCAGAAGGATACTCCAGGATCAGGTGAATATCTGGCTCTTCTACTATGTTACCTGCCACTGGGAAGACAGAGGAGGTTAAGCAGAATGGAGGAGAAGAACATAACAGGTCAGAAACAAAGTACAGAGAAGAAAAGTGGGAAAAATAAAAATAGGAGGTAGTGCAAAAGGAAGGACAGATTCGTGCAAGCAGGAAATTACTGCATGAAGTAAATGATGGGATTGACTTATCCAAGGTTTTTTTTTTTTTTTTCTTTACCTGTGATGTGCTGGGACAGGACATCAGTAAAATCTGTGCTGAAACTCCCCCCTAGCAACACATCACATCCCTCAGTTGCCATGCGACCAGCCATTACCGGGGCATTGCCGCCTATTGACCATCTGTTCCCAGGTAGGTCGCGGGATGCCTCGACCAGCTCACTAAACAGGGTGTCATTTAGCATGAAACGCCTGCCAGAAGGAAAAAGCAAAGAAAAAAAGTGAAACAATGTTAAAGCTAAAAAGACCAGAACTTGAAAACAGCAACTTTTCATAAATATATATATAATTAGAAAAGAAAATAGTGAAGTGTGCTTCATTGAAAAACTCATCTACCGCTGCTAGTTTGTCTTATAATAAACAAGACAGACTTGTTTTATGCCTTATGGCTCTGGAAACTGAAGATATGTCGGAGCTTCTTGGCAAAACACACACCAAGAACGTAAAGGACAACTACATCTAAGAGAAAAGAAAGAGAAGGCAAGAGCATTTAAAATGAGAAAGGAAAAAAAAAAAGTCTGTGGTGTGTGTGTGCATGAAACCAGTAAGCATGCAGCCTGAAAGAGAGACAGTGTACCAGAAACAGCAGGCATGCTATTTTATGAGGTTAGCCTGGTTAGTCAAACTGTAGCATCTTGGACATTAACATCTTTTCTAGCTCATCTCACAATCAACTGTATTTCACATACTGACACACAGTCTCTCGCTGAAGCTACAGATATAAATTTTATTTTAAAATGTGGGATAGAAGAAACAGAAGTAAAAGCAAAGCCCTCTGAGGAAAATAAACATTTTATTTTTTAAAAATAAACCCATTATACATGCAAGCTGACCTGGTCGGTGCTTGGCAAACACAGGCTACCCAATCCACTTCTGCTCTTTGTCCATTTCACTAACATTTTTGTTTAAGTCCTTGAGATTTATGGTCTCAAGTCATCCTCTGGCAGATAAAGTATTTATAATCCCAAATTCCACAAGAAACCAGGCAAGGGAAATAAATAAATGATGAAAAAGAAATTGGTTTCTGCAGCTAATAGAAGTTTTTTAATTTTTCACTCGTATGCATACATTCTTTGCCCTGTCTGTTCATGGTGAGTTTGGAGGCTTCTTGTCATTAGGTGTTCGTTCCAGACAACGATCAAGTGTCACAGGCGTCGAAACATGAGCCGTCACCAGTGACAGGAAAAAAAAGAGAAGGGACATGGGCTCAACTGCAGAAACACCAAATACTTAGAATGGCCGGCAGCAACTAACTGATAAACGATGAGGTGACAGTGTGTAAAACACACACACACACAAACACCGCCCAAAGCAGGGCTTTTAAAACTCATAGCTATTAGCTGGTTAATCTATTTTGTGTGAAAAATAGATGGAGATGAATGAAGACAGAGTGAGCACTTACATTTGTTTACCTTATGAAAAAAAAAACCTTACACATTTACAGTGTTTGTCAAAGAAAGGAGCATAGTAGCCCGAGGGATGCAACAGAAACTATTTTAAATATGCTTTTGGCAGGTCTCAAGCCACACCAATGGTTTATCTACTTACCAGACACATAAGAGCATCAGGAGCTACTTCACTGCCTTTCTTATCATATCACACCACACAGACAGACACTCGCTGGACACATTTACACGTTACTCTTGTGCTCGCTTCTATTTGATCGTTCTAGTTTCTAAGGTCAGTCATATCTTTTGAAAGCACTGGGAATTGAATCCGTGCTTTTGTGACATCACTATGAGACTACTGTTAATAATTATACTCTTACTTCAGGCAAGGACCTGTTTGGCATTTGCTGATAGCTCCAAGACAAAGTGCAAGAAGCACATTACTCCCATACTGGCCTCTCCACTGATTTCACCTTATTTATAAACAAGAAAACTCAACCAGTCCCAGCACAGAAAAGATTATTGAAATATTGCAAGAACACGTGTGCTATATTTCTCCTAATATGACTTTGGGATTAATTACCTGAACTATATAATGGCCAGCTCTTATTCACTCATACACCACTTACTCTGCAGCAGCTCCTGGTGCGAAGAAGTAGGCGAAGCTCTGAGCCAGCTGCTCTGCGTTTTCTATGTAGTCATGATGTAGGGGCTGGTCTGAGGGAGGGAGGCCAATCTTATTAAGCAATGACACCCCGTCCACTATCAGGTCAACACAACCTCCAAACCCTGAGGATGAAGGAGAGGAAAGGGGACTGATAAGAGATATACATGCAATAAAACCGTATACAACTAAGCATCTTGGGCCAACAAGAGGAAAAGATCAAGTTGATGCTGACGCTCGTAATATATAGAACAATTTACTAACTTCAGTGCCAGCTATTTCTGATGCTTGTCATATCGGACCTAATCGATTATCAACCCAGAATCTCCATAAACTGCTACAATGAGTTTAGAAAAGCTAAGGTTAGCTAGTTTACACCGCTTACCAATGGCCACTTTACGTCTGGCGACGTTGTTCGTCCCGACTTTGCGTTCAGCCCGGAGCAGCGAGGACAGGACCGTGTCCAGCCGGTCGTCCAGTACTTCATTCTGAGGTGACCGGAACCAGACAGCCAACAGAACTATAAACAAGGACACAACAGGCCCATATTTCACCCACAACACCCTGCCTCCCCTCTCCATCGCTCGCTGACTAGCTATCCGTGGACCACGGTTGCTCGATGTTAAGAGCAAGCGCTAGGCATTGGTTTGTCTGTTTAAGGAATCGACGTGTCCCGGAAATGTCTTAAGTGGACGGGTACTGAGCGAAATTCCGGATTTCACTTATTCATTCAAAACACCAACACGTAAACTGCGTTTTTAATCTCTGTGTAAAAATAACTTTTATATCAGTTTGTATATGTCTTCTTTCTCTCTG